ATATAAAGGGGTCTTTATATAGTGTGGCTATTAGGGTTACACCATGTAACTCATGACTTTACCCATTCCTTATGCTCCATGGGTTTTAACCTCCATGGAGTATCAATGGGTCACCACATGGGTTAAACCCAACATAAGGAATCTTGGATCATAAGCCCACATATATAAGAATTAACAATTTTCACAATCAATCCCCATATATTTAATTAGTCTCTTTTGATCACTAAATTAAGTCCAAATTAATTCTTGATCAATACAAATTAAATAACATGATTTCATATTAATATATTAGAACTTATAATATATTAATATGTCACAAATGTCCTCTTCTCACAAACGGTCTATCCAAATGTTCCGATGCCATGCAACCCAAATGGACCATGCCGAGTCGGGTCAAGTACATACCAATTATAGTTATGGACTTAGACACTAATCCAACATATTGATCGTCCTCCCTTCGAGATGTTATACGGGAGGAAGTGCAGGACCCCGATATGTTGGGGTGAGGTTGGCCATAGAGTCATGGGGAGCACCAAAGTGGTGCTCAAGACGACAGAGAGGATTCAACAGGTTCGGAGCAGGCTTCAGACTGCTCAGAGTCGACAGAAAAGTTATGCCGACAAGCGCCGATCAGACCTGGAGTTTCAGGTCGGGGATATGGTTCTCCTAAAGGTGTCGCCATGGAAGGGCGTCAATCGATTCAGGAAGCGGGGCAAGTTGGGCCCCAGGTATATTGGACCCTTCAGGGTTATAGCCCGGGTGGGCAAAGTGGCGTATAGGCTGGACCTGCTAGCCGAACTCAGTCAGATCCACAGCACTTTCCACGTCTCCCAGCTGCGGAAGTGCTTGGTGGACGACTCAGCAGTGGTACCCTTAGAGGATATTCAGGTCGATGACAGCATGAATTACATTGAGTGACCTGTAGCAATCCTCGACCGGAAGTCGAAGGATCTGAGGAACAAGAGGGTCGAGCTGGTGAAGGTGCAATGGCAGCACCGGAAGGGCTCGGAATGGACTTGGGAGCCGGTGGATGAGATGATGGAGCATTACCCAGATCTTTTCTAGGAGCGAGCAGCAGACTTCGAGGACGAAGTCTAAAATAAGTGGGGGAGATTTGTAGCACCTGGTTCCTGGTATGTATTTTATTCAAGTATTTTGCGTTTTTGGCTTGGGACTTGGCGAGTTGAAGGCCCAACTCGTCGAGTAGAAACGGATTTGATCCGGGATTTAAATGACGGACTCGTCGAGTCGGCTTCCGGACTCGATGAGTAGACTCTGACTGGACAAAACCCTAATCTAAGGGTTTGCACCCTATTTAAACATCTCATTCAACCACCCTTCGTCCCTATTGCTTCCAGAACCCCCCCCCCCCCCCATAGCAAACCCTAACTGTGTGTGTGAAGATCTAAAAGCATTTGTGGTGATTCTTGGTGGTCTTGATCATAAGGAAGAAGGAAGGGCCTAGAGGAATCAAGAGAAGACCAAGGGGTTTCAAGTTTGTGCATCATTTTCAGTTCCCAGAAGGTATAAAGTCGATACCTTGCTTGTTCATTTGTTAGATCCCTCTTTGGGGAGATTTAGGGATTTTATAAGCCATTTTGTGGTAACCAACCATGATTACAAGCATGGTTGGGGGTTGAGGCTTCGGATCTAGGTCCATGAAGGAGTTACAAGGCAGAAAAGGGTTGCTTTTGCACCCATGGAAGCCCCCATGCAACTCAAGAGTCTCTTTTAGAGCCTTTTAGGCTCAAAGTCCCTTGCATGCACGTAAAGTTCGTAACTTTACGTGTTAGATCGAGTTTAGGGACCTAGATCTATCATTTGGACAAGAGTTGTACGCCAGAAATCGAAGAAATAAGACTTGGACTGTATCGACTCGGCGAGTCGTTCTTGGGACTCGGCGAGTCCGAGGGTAGACTCCCCTTTTCTGTTATGGGTCAAGGAGACCCAGTGAAGTGCTGGAAAGGTTTTAGAGGGTCCGGAGGAGTAACCCAACGTTTTGGGATAAGCCATAGTCCTGGAATTCATAGGACTCGGCGAGTACATGAACAGACTCGGCGAGTCCAAGGCAATCTCCCAACTCTTGAGGATGAACTCGACAAGTTGTTCATACAACTCGGCGAGTCGAGGACATGACTTGTTCATAGGATGGAGATGGACTCGACGAGTTGTTCATACAACTCGGCGAGTCGGATGAAGGTTCATTCGGGGTTGATTTAGAAGGAGAACTCGTCGAGTCCTTGCCAAACTCGACGGGTAGAGGTGTGAAGAAGGACATATTAAAGGATAGGGACTCGACGAGTTGGCGGCCCAACTCGGCGAGTCGGGTCAACTGGAAGTTGACTTTGACTTTGACTTGGACTTGGCCAGGGGTAAAATGGTCATTTTACCCTAAGAATAGATATCAGGCTCTGACTAAGTGTTTTGTGCGGATTATAGCAGGAGGATTTTCGGAGTAGCAGTAGACAGAGATTTCCCCGCACATATTATCAGCAGCTACTCGTTCAAGGTGAGTTACCTTCCAGTAGCGGTGGGTCTACGGCCACAATGCCGGCCCACCAGTAGGAGTTGTATATTGGATGATTGTCTTTGTGATATCATCCAGGTTTGCTACTACCTGATATGTTGTATGCTAGCATGATATGTTATATGTGATAGTAGTAGAGTTCGGTTGCTAGGACCGAAGGGCAGGTCAGGCACCCCAGATATGTCTGACAGTATGTGATGATATGTTTATATGCTGGCATGGTATGATATATGTGATAGCGGTAGTAGGAGGGGAATAGTCCCCAAGTTCGGTTGTTAGGACCGAAGGGTAGTTCGGACACCCCAGATATGTCTGATAGTATGTTTAGGTTATAATATATGTGATAGTGGCAGTAGGGGGTGGAATAGTCCCCAAGTTCGGTTGTTAGGACCGACGGGCAGGTCAGCACCCCAGAATGGCTTGACATGGGTAGGTCGGCACCCCAGAATGGCCGTACCGGGTAGGTCGGGCACCCCAGAATTGCCCGACAGTATGTATGCTATATGACTGTATGGTATGTGGTATGATGGGGGAACTCACTAAGCTTTGTGCTTACAATTTTAGTTTTGGTTTCAGGTACCTCTTCGTCTAAGGGGAATGAGCCGGCGGTGTAGCAGCGCATCACACACACACATGATTTCCGCATGGAGTTTTCTGGGATTGTACTCTGATTTATTTTACTTTGACATTATGGTTTTCAGACACATTGTTATATTTCTGTTTGCAAATGATATGGCATGGGAAATGTTTTGGTAAACTATGTTGAGAATTACTTAATTAAAAATGAAAAAAATTTGGGCTTGAAATTTGGGATGTTACAAGTTGGTATCAGAGCCCTGGTTTGAGGGATTCGGACACACCCTCGGGGGTGTCTGGACTCAAATCGAGGGATTAAAAGCTTTTTACAAGAAAATGGTTTTCTAAAAGATAAGTTAAAGGAGTTTTGAGAAAGAACGAAGTGTGTTATGTGCGCGACCGGCCGAGCTCAAGTAAGTATTCCCCAAAGTACCCATACAAGTTTATGTTATGTTTATCAGCTTCAGTAGAGCAGCATGCTAGAATAGGACTAAGGATCTAGGAATGATGCCTTATGTGCCTGCTTTATGTGTTTCAGCTTATGAGAATTGCATGCTAGTATTGAGTAGACAGCAGTAGGATAGCCTGTTTAGGTTATGCCTGATAGTATGAGCTTAGCATTGTATGCTAGTATATTTTCGTGTTATGAGGATATGATTGCTTGAGATCGTTCCCTTTTGTCTAAATGCTGCTTGCTTTGTGCTATGTGGGACTCTGAGTGATGGGAGTTAACTATTAGGTGAATTCGTTAAAGTCACATGTGATCAGGGTTGGATAATCTTAGAGGATTAGATTTGACCCTATTTCGCAGCTCTTGTTTGAGTCCTAACCGTTGTAGGGATGAGTCCCTTACTCGAAGGATTATCCGGGCCACGTTGCCTGTGATTGTATTCAGCTAATGGCTAATTGGCATTACAAAGAGGCCTTCAGCAGCTGAGGACTGGTTAGGGTGGAGTCAGAGGTACCTATTTTATATATATAATATATATATAATATATATATATATATATATATATATATATAATATATATATAATATATATATATATAAGAACACATGGGAAGTTTCAACAATAAACTTTCCATGTTTCTAATTTTAACACTATATTTTTACTTTTTCTTTATTTTGCCACTAAAGTTTCAACAAACTTTTCCTTTTTATAATTTTGTCCATTTATTTTTACTTCTTCATATTTTTGCCACTAAACATTCACTTTTACTTCTTTAAAACCATTTTTCTTTATTCTTTTATAATTTTACCACTTTATTTTTACCTTTTTATAATTTTGCCACTAAAGTTTAACAAACTTTTCCTCTTTATAGTTTTGGTACTTTATTTTTACTAATTTTGCGACTAAAGTTTCAGCAAACTTTTCATCTTTATAATTTTGGCACTTTATTTTTACTTCTTTATATTTTTGCCACTAAACTTTCACTCGTGCAACGCACGAGCCTTTTCCTAGTTTATATAGAACCGGGCTTGACCCAATTTCGACTACTCCAGAATATCTATTGCAAAATGCATGGTTATTTTGCCAAAAACTATATAAGTTATTATTTTTCTTTAAAATGCACTTTACTCGATTTCCCTACGCTATATACCAATTCTTGATTGAACAAAGTAAAACTTTGAATAATATAGTGGTCAAATTGTAAAAACTAAAACATAGAACCTCAAATAGATTTAGTGTGACTAAATCTTTTTATTTTTTATTTACTTATTTATTTATTTATTTTTTTGTCTTTTTAAATTTGCCAATTGCTTACCCACACACACACCAACATTCAATTCTTTATTTTCTCGCCCACTTTTAAAGAAATGTCCAAAAACAAGAAGAAAAACCCATTTTTTTATTGATTTGGATCTTACATCACCCATTTTAGCTTCGGATATAATATTTCTTGTTTCGTCATCTCAATTCATCTTACAATTGAATCTTTCTTTCTATATCTTTCGACCCAAAAGGATCTTCTCTCTTTCTCTCTCTAGAGCAAGGTTGACTAGCCGCGGGATTCCCTATGAGTTTCATGGTGGGGTTTCTGAGATTGTAAGAAGAATCTTGAACAAACAACAAAGAAACAGGCTTTCAAGGAGTCTCAAAAGGTTTAAAGAACCAAAAGAGATGATTATTACAAGGTGAAAGTTCAGATATTTCTATGCGTTTCCTTTTGATTCAGAGCAAACGATTATCAAATCCAACAGTGTTTTTGGGTTGCGTTATATGTGCTTCTGCATCTGAAACATCCCACAAAATTTCTTGTGTTTCTCTATAACTTTTTTATGGGTATTTTCGGAATTTACTCTTTGCCCAGATAAAAATGTGGTAAACCCTTATTAGGAATATTCAAGAATCTAATCTCAAGAACTGTTCCCTATTCTATTCATCCTTCTATGTTTTTTTTTTCTCTCTTTTTTTGTTAATTTTCCGTCTAGTGATGGTAGAGTTTGCAAGTGGTTGTAAGTACAATCTTGACAAATCTGTAAGAAATAATAAATTTAATGCTTTTTGTTTGTTTTCTAGTTTTAACTTCCATTTCGAATCTTAAGTCTCCTTGAAAGTAGGTATTCTGAACTGGGGTCTGTTCATTCATTGATTTTTTTCTTTTTGTTTCTGTAGCTGACTTTTTAGGTACTTTGACTATGATTGATATCGTTAGTAGTCATGTTGATAGAATCTTTTGATTTTCCACGCATATAGGCTATCGCTTTTTCAGAGTTGAATTTCATGTGTTTTCATTTTGAATTTGTTGCTTTCTTTTTGTAAGTTTCGACAGATTTGGCTTGAAATATGAAGAAAAAAAGCTCCAACTTTGGAAAACGTTTGTGGGATTTCGTATGGGTTTTCTAGTGTTGATGTTTAATTTCTTTTCTTTCATTGATTGATGTTCGTCTTCTTTCATTTCCCCCAATTTTAATATGTTTTGCTCGAGATTTGAACAATAAAGTTCTTATTTTTAGATAAAATCATGGGATTTGAGTACAAATTACAGCTCATAACATGTTTGGATGTGGCGTTGAACTTTTTAGTATTAAATTCATTTGTGTTTCCTCTAAATGTCCTTCTTCCCCAATTTTGACAGATTCTGATTGAAACATGAATTCAAAAAGTCAAAATTTTAGATAAAATTTTTGGGATTTTGAGTACATGATTATAGATATATCCATGACACCGTGTCTCCTCTTAACATGGCTTTTTTGGTGTTCAAGTTTTCTTCTTCCAACAGTAATTTATCCAATTTTTGTGGAGTAATGTTGTTCTTTCTTTTCCCCCCAAATTTCTTGAGATATGCGCTAAAAAGTTCGCATTTTTAGATATATTTTGTTCGTTTCTCATCGATTAATGTTTATTTTCTTTCTTTTTCAACAGCTTTGACACATACATAGCGATATGAACAATAAAGTTAAGATCTTTAAATAAAATCCTTGGGATTTTAACTACAAAATTAGAGCAATGGATGACAGCGTTTTTTCTCCTAATAACATGTTTGGGAATCCATCCGAATCCTTAATGGATTACGATTACATGGATGAACTTTTATTAGATGGTTGTTGGTTACAAGCAACAGAAGGATCCGAGTTCAACAACAACAACAACAACAATTCCCTTTTCGACACTCCATTTCTATGGCCAACTTTTGAAGACATTCAAGAACATCAAGAAAGATCACCACTTCTCAAGAATCTTCCAGAAGATGTGATTCAATCAAAAACCCTCGTGAGTAATTCATTAGGATTTCACAACCAATCTGAAAACCTTCAAATCGAAAGCCAAAGGTGGTGGATCCCACCAGGAATTGGCCCATCATTATCCGTGAAAGAAAGATTGATTTATGCAATCGAGAATATAAGACATTCCACTATTCATAGAAACATGCTTATTCAAATATGGCTACCAGAAAATCGAGAAGGAAAGAAGGTTTTAAGTACAAGCTCTCAACTTTCTTCACTTGACACAAATTGCCCTCAACTTTCCTATTATAGAAATATATCCGAAGGGTATCATTTTCCGGCTGAGGGCAATTCAAAGGAGATTGTAGGGTTACCTGGAAGGGTATTTATGGGAAAAGTTCCGGAATGGACACCGGATGTTCGGTTTTTTAAAACGGAGGAGTATCCGAGAGTTGGTCATGCTCAAGAGTTTGATGTTAAAGGGAGTGTTGCAGTTCCTGTTTTTGATAGGGATAGTCAAAGTTGTCTTGGTGTTATTGAAGTTGTTATGACTACTCAAAAGAGTAGTTATAATCCTGAGATTGAAGGTGTTTGTAAAGCTCTCGAGGTAGGTTTTTGTTTTATTTTTTGGTTATGATAACATTATTAAGAGTTTTATGGTCATTACTTTGAAAACATTTAACAAAGGGCTAAATGCAAAAATAGCTATGTACTTTTGTTTGTTTGTTTAATATAGCATATAACTTTCGTGTTTTTCTATTAAAACATTGTACTTTCAATCTTTTTTTACTAAGACATTGTACTATGAAAAATCTATCCAATCATAGCATTCCACTTTCATTTTTCTTACAAGGACATTGTATTTGAAAAACCTACTCGGTTATAGAAGTGGAAATTGTTCTATATTTCGATGACACTACTATAGTCGGGTAAATTTTCTAAAACACAATGTTTTAATAGGAAGAAACAAGTGTTGAACGTTATAATAAGAAAATAAATAGAAGTATGTTGTTATCTATTGCATTTAACCCTTTAATGCAATGTTACATCCAAAATGAACGCAACTTTGCATGGTTATACCAATGAATCCGTTTACTTTTCATGTTCTTATCTCTATTACAAAATCTTGCCAAGAAACAACTAAATATTTTGAAGTTTTTGTTTTTTTATAGGCCGTTCATCTCCGGAGCTCCGAGTCTTCCAACTCCAAGAACTTCAAGGTAATACGATGGTGAGATACTTACAAATTAGGTCAAGGGTTCAAGTCTCAGCAGCCGCAGTATGGGAGTTCCAATTCCAATGTGGATTGGGCTCCTTCTGGGCCCACCTAGCAGACTGCTGTGTACCTGATTTACCTTTTCACATAATACTCTAAGGGAAAATAAATAAAATAACGTTCGATTAACATATTTTCCCAGGTAACGGACGGTTTAAACGAAGCCGCCTTAACCGAAATCATCGAGATCCTCAAAACCGCATGCAAAACCCACAACTTACCCTTGGCTCAAACGTGGGTCCGGTGCATCCAACAAGGCAAAGACGGTTGTCGCCACTCGGACACCAACTTAATCCATTGTATATCGACTGTGGACCCCGCATGCTATGTCCACGAACTGCGTTTCAAAGATTTTCAAGAAGCGTGTTCGGACCACCACTTGTTAAAAGGCCAAGGGGTGGTGGGCCGCGCTTTCACCACCAATCAACCGTGTTATTTCTCAGACGTGACATCATTGACAAAAACCGAGTACCCACTCTCACACCATGCACGGATGTTTGACTTACGTGGGGTTGTGGCGATAAGGCTTAGAAGCACTTTCACGGGTGATATTGATTATGTTTTGGAGTTTTTTTTACCGGTTGATTGTAAAGATGAAGAGGAGCAAAAGGGGTTGCTTAATTCTTTATCGGTTATTATACAAAATGTTTGCCGGAGTTTACGGGTGGTTACGGATAAGGAGTTGGCGGAGGAAGGTGGTGCGGTGGTGGTTACGGGTGGACGGGCGGTGAAAGTTGAAGAGATTTCGGAGAAAATTGGGGAGGTGAGTAGGAAACAAGGGGGTGATGGTGGTTCCGGCGAGGGTAGTTTCGTCAATGATGGGATTAAACGGACGGAGAGACGGCGGGGTGGTGCTAAGACGGAGAAAACGATTACTTCGGAAATGCTTAGACAGTATTTTGCGGGTAGCTTGAAAGATGCAGCTAAGAATCTTGGGGGTAAGTGCTCCTTAACTTCTTTTATGTTGTTGAAACCAAACCAAAAAAACTCGTTTTCTATCAAAAAAAAAAAAGATTTTTTCGGTTTCAGTATATTTTTCTTGTTTATAGGTTGAATAAAGCAATAAAAATAGCAATAGAATGCATTTCACTTTTTTTGTTTTTTTTATTCCTAACATCAAAAACAATGTTTTTCTCGCCCAAACAATAAAGATTAGTTTTCTATCTCAATAAACTGATTTTTCGATTTCATTTTTGGGTTTGGCCGGATTGGTTTCTTTATGTTGATTTTTTTTTGGAATTTTGGAGTTGAATGGAAACTGAAAAAACATTAATAATTGAGGTTAACTAGAAATAACAATGTACTTACATATCTTTGTGTATTATAACATTGTACTTTCACTTTTTTACTCCATAAGGCTTTGTTCTTCAAAAAATTTTATCCATTGATGACATTAAAATTCCAAATTTTCTCATCAAGGAATGAAAATTACTGTTTATTAGGCATTTTTATAATTCACTATGTTTTTCAAAGTACAATATCTTGATAAGAAATAATTAAAAGTACAATTCTATAATAAATAAATTAAATGCAAGTACATTGCTATTTCTTGCATCTGGCCGAATAATTAATCATGTAACAAATCTATATACATTATAAAAAGGTCATATCAAGATACAATTAAGTTCAGTTTCTATTTTCGGTTTCTTTACAAACAAAATAACCAAACCATGATTTTTTATTTTTATTTTGCAGTCTGTCCAACAACTTTAAAACGAATTTGTCGACAACACGGGATCCAAAGATGGCCATCTCGCAAGATTAAAAAAGTCGGTCATTCCTTACAAAAGATCCAACTTGTCATGGATTCAGTCCATGGAGCCTCAGGCTCCTTCCAAATTGAGTCTTTTTACTCAAACTTCCCAAACCTCGCTTCTTCAGACCCAAAAACAGGCCCATTTTCACCAAAGCCCATCGAGGGTACTATCACCAAATCATCACTCTCCCCATCATGCAGCCAAACTTCAAGTTCAGGCCAATCATCTTCCAGTGGGACCCACCCGACCAATGACGAACCCATTTTGAAACGGGCCCGCAGCGATGCCGAGCTTCATGTCTCCATTTATAATCAAGATCAAGAACAAGAACTAAAGGTGCTTCAAAGATCACATAGTCATAAGTTACTCACTGAAGTCCCGATAACTCAAAATCGTCCCCCAAAAAGTGCGAGTTCTCGAGATGAGAATGTGTCGAGGGTTAAAGTTACTTTTGGGGAAGAAAAGATTCGTTTTCGATTGCAAAAAGATTGGGGATACAATCAACTACTTGAAGAAATCGCGAAGAGGTTTTGTATAGGCGATATAAACGGGTTTCATTTGAAGTATTTTGATGATGATTCTGAATGGGTTCTTTTGACTTGTGATGCGGATTTAGAGGAGTGTGTTGATGTTTATAGATCGTGTAAAACAGGGACGATTAAACTTGCGCTTTCTGAGGCTCAACATGTGGGGGGCAGTTTTGGTAGCACCGTGATTTTATAAAGACCCGACCCAAATCCAACAGGTTCATCTCTAGTGGGCTGTGTTTGATGGGTCGATACGGTTTTTTGGGTAAGACCCATGAAGGATTTGGGTTGATGTGTATCGGGGGGTTGTGCGTGTGTGCATTAAAGAGTTGTAGTATACAGCGTGCTCGATGGGTCAAGACAAGGTTTTCTAGCCAAACTAGTGAAGGGTTCGGCTTAAATGTTGAGGGTGGTCATCGGGATGCATTGATGGGGGTTGTACAATGCGAATAGTCAACCAAGGGCAGGTGGTTGAAGTCAAGAAAATCTTGGTCAAAGTTATAGTTATGGTGGTGGTATTAAAGTTTGGTAGTTTGAATATAAAGTTTGTATTATATGAATGTTTTGGTTTGTACAAATTAAATCCATAGTAGGTATTTATTTTCAAGGTTGCCACTTGTACATTCTTGTAGTTGATTAAAACGGGTCGATGGACAACATATCAAAACGGCTGATATTTGGCATCAATTCGGTTGATCCGAAATTTCCCTTTATAAATTTTTGTGTTGAACTTTTATGTATAGTTTTTGTTAAGGGTGTGTATGAGGCGGTTTGGTTCGGTTATTGGAAAAAGACGATCCATAACCATTATTATTGGGTAATGCATTTTGGTATCCATTGTATATGGTTAATATTGGTTATGGTAATGGTTTTTTTTCGGTTATGGTTTTGGTTCGTTGTTAGTAATGCTAACCATGATGTTCAAAAATGATATAAAAAGTGATCATTGAACTGATTGCGAATAAAATTTATGAATTATAGAATTAGTCTATTTGGAATTACCGAATTCATCAATTGTTTAAACACAATGCATGATTAAATGATTTTGTGTATCTATGTCATTAACCTCCAATGGTTTGACTGCTCATTCTTCTCTTGATAAGAGGATTAATGGATTATTTTTTGAAGTTTTACTTGCTCTTGGATAAGTTGGAGTATATTATTTTATATATAATCTATAATTTTTATATAGGTAAATATAAAGTTAGCGGTTCGGTTAATAATGGTTCGATTAACCTTTAAAACAATAACCGAACCGTTAGTTATCGGTTATCAAAAAATAGAAATCGAACCATTAGTTTTGGAAATGGTTCGGTTATATCGATTAACATAGTTTTGGTTCTGTTTTTCGGTTATTATGCTCACTCCTAGTTCTTGTGTTAAATATTGCTATAATAATATTGTAATATTTGTAATCATACGGTTTATTTGCATGCGTGTTAAAAATATATACATTGCGGGTGATTTTTGAGTTTTGACAAATATTGCCCGTGTCCTTAGTTTTTTTCTAGTCATTTTGTTTTGTTAGAAGTGCAACATAATTTGAATGACATAGTCTATATCTATATCAATTTATAATTTATCTATCGGGAAATCTACAGAAAAGTCTCAAATTTTTGGTAAAAGTTTCAAAAAAGTCCTAAAAGTTTTTTTTAAATGGAACAGTTCCGCTTATTTAACATTTTGTCAAAATTAACGAAAAAGTCTTTTATATATATATATATATATATATATATATATATATATATATATATATATATATATATATATATATTTGAACAGCAAATGACAAATGACAGATTATATGATTTTCTCAAAATATTCAAAAAAAAAAAAAATTTAGGACTTTTTTGAAACTTTTCCCAAAAGTTTGGAACTTTTCTGTTGATTTCCCTTTATCTATCTACTATAATTTAGTTGATTTATCTCAGACAAAATTGCAAAAATGATCACTATAGTTGACAATTTTATGTGTTTTTGGTCCAAAACGAAATGTTGGTGCACACTGGCCCAATTTCCGATACGTTGTACGGTTTAGGTCCTTATAGTTATTATTTTTTTGTGTATTTGGTCAATACCCAACCTAAAAGGACAAATATACCCGTAAAATAGTTTTTTTTCTATTCTTTTAATTGAATTCTTATTATTTAAAACTCTCTCTCTCTCTCTCTCTCTCTCTCTCTCTCTCTCCACGATTGAAAACAAAAAGAAAAAACCATGCACTTCATCATATACACACCATCGCAGGATCAACTTTTACACATTGCCTCAACATCCTACGTCGTCATCCAGCCACCTTCGAGCCTCCTTAATACGCCATCATAATATTCGAAACAGATTAAAGATTCTTATTTTGTATGTGAGTTTCATCTCTATCTACACAACCTTATTCATTAGCTTCACCATCCACAATCACAATCACTATCACGATCACAACATCTCCATTATCTTCACACAATCAAACCATCATGGCTGACCCGTGTTTCAAATCGAAGTGTAAAAGAGATGGTGAAACAGTGTAAAATCTTACAAAATTTAGGGGTATTGGCGATAATCACACACAAAACAGGTTGCAATTTAAATTTTAAAAAAGATGGAGAAAAATACGGTAACCCTCCCACTTTGAATTCGATCTTGTATTTAGGTAACAAGGATCTCGAATTTTGTAGGTCTTCTTCTAAAATTTTGATGTTCATGTAATCTTGTATTATTTCTTCTTTTCGATTTTTAGATTCGACTGACTGTAGACAGTCAAAGAAATCCGCAATTACAGATGCGAGCTTCACTCACCTTCTCTGCGTTTCTTCATATGTATAACTCAGAGATCCAAAAATCATGAAGGTCCGGTCTCTGTAAACATCTGTTGATCTCTCCAATCGATCTCTCTAAGAAGCTAATTGATGAGGGTATAAGAAGGGTATGGTGGTTTTCTGGTTTAATGGTGGTCACAAACGCCAGAGCTATTAGAGCTCTTTCTTAGCTGGTGATGGGATGAAAGAGGGATAGCTCCGATGAGATCTAGGTTTCGGATATGAGAAAGAGGCGCCTGGTATGATATTTTAGCAAAAAGATGAAGAACGATGGTATGGTGGCCGGTGGTCAAGTTTCATCGGGTTAAGCAAGGAAAGATGTGGGGTGAGGGCAGAGGAGATCGAGGTGGTTGGTGGCGGACGGTGCTAGCGGATGGTGGTGACACTTGGGGTGTGAAGGTTTCTGGGCGTCAGCTGATTTGTAGCATAAAAATCTGTAGATCGGGGCGTTGGACGGTGCTAGCGGATGGTGGTGACACTTGGGATGTTCGTGTGTTTTCCTGAGAGATAGAGAGAGATGAGAGAGAGAGAGAGAGATGAGTGTGTGTCTGTGTGTAAGAGAGAGTGAACAGAATGTTTGTGGGTTTTTTTTATTGTGAATAAAAATAGATAATAAACAAATGGAAAAACAAATTATAAGGGCATGGTCTTTTTAAGTAGATAGGGACAAAAACAATAGAAAGATTCAATTTTGGATAGTCGTGTACCAACATTTTGTTTTGTACCAAAATCACATAAAATTGCCAACTACATTGACCATTTTTGCAATTTTGTCTTTATCTCACCTCATAATCATTTGAAGACTGCATTATTTGAAACTCGTACATCTATTCAACTTTTAACTAATTAACCATTAATTGTTCATTATACAAATATCTTTTACTTTGAACAAAATTCCTCATTTTTGTTTTTGCTTAAATTTGTCTTTTTGTTATGCTTGACTATTTATGATTAATAGTATTGCATAATCTGAATTAACTCATTGTAACTAATTAAGCGTTAATTAATCATTGTACAAAAATAAGAAATTTTGTTCCAAGATATTGAAAAGAATAATCATTATTTAATTTAGTATTAAACAAAAACACTCTTTTGGCTTATTAGCAAAATGACCTCCGTGTGAGTAACATGTCCGGACTAGACAATAATCATGTTGGAGAGCAGTGGCCTAAAATGATGTGGCGTAAAGTGGTTCGAAATTTGACATTTTTCATTGCCAACTACACTAAATATGAAACAACCCAAAAATGCGATCCAAATATTTCGTTTTTGAAAATTATTATAAAATCATCAATCATCCATAATCATAAAAAGAGTCAGGTATCATGTATCTCAAAAACATCATATCAAATACTGTGACAAAATCATATGAGAAAAATATCAGAGTCTAAACATCCCAGGCTGTAACTGTGGTGTGTGCCATGCGATCATCCCGAGCCCTTCCCCTTGCTAGTGGAAGTACCTGAAACCAAAACTGAAAACTGTAAGCATGAAGCTTTAGTGAGTCTCCCCAAACTACCACATACCATACACATATATCATGCAACTAATATACTCGGGCCCCGCCCACTCTCGTGGAGATTCGGGCCCCGCCCACACTCCGATACTAACATGTATACAAGTATCACACAAACAACAAGTATTCTAACAACCATATAACTATATCCAATTATTGCTATGAGATTGGGGCCCCGCCCACACTCAGCTACTAACATATCACATACACGGGCTGACCTTGGTGCCTTAGACCCGTTCCTACCGAAGGGAAACTCACCTCGTATGACTGACTGTTGAAAACCCGAGTGAGGAATCCCTGTTTGCTGCTCCGGCAACTCCCCGGCTATAATTTCCATAATACACTTAATCAAAAACTAACAACTCTTCATAGGGTAAATGGCCATTTTACCCCTGGTCAAAGTCAACACTCAGGTCAAAATCAACATTCTGGGTTGCCTAACTCGCCAAGACAACCCTTCGACTCGCCGATTTCTATCGAGCTGTTCAGACGCGACTTGGCGTATCCACTCGTCGAGTCCCTATCCGACTCGTCGAGTTCTAAACTACAATCGGGACAATGCAAATCGACTCGTCGAGTACCTTTATGGACTCGACGAGTCTTTCTGTCTTTTTTGCCAACTTAATAGATCAAGCCCCTATCTTCTGGATCCAAGGTTCCTAGTTCGTTTGCTCACTGGAAAGACCTTTCTAAGGGTAAAGTTTCCAACTTTACCCCTCCGTAGCTCCTCTAAAAGGGTTTAGACAAAACCCTAATTCATATAAGACATGGATCTTGTCCAAAAGCCATAGAGTCTCAATTCCACTCATACAAACCTAGATCTAGGGTTTTAACATCTGTTGGACCAATAAAGTTCCGAACTTTCCTTACATGCATAGTCTTTTAGGGCTAAAAAGACCATAAACTTGCTAATATGCTTGCATGGGGCTTCCATGGTCATAAAGTTTGCACCTTTATGCCATGTGTGACAACCGTCAAAATTCGAGTAGGTTCTAGATTTGATAAACTTAGTTGTACATGTAGGCACGAAACATACTAGACTTAGTAACTAGAAACTAAGTTATAACCTACTAGAAACTTGGAAACAATTAGAATCAATTGTTAGTACACTTAGATTTCACATTGATATGTGGATTCTACAACTACTTAACTGTAGTGAATATCTATATTCGGGTCACTCTTTGACTCGAACACCTTTTCGTGAATCATATACACACATCATGCATTTGACATAGTAGTAGAAATTAGGTCCGAGTCTCGTTGGAACTTAAGTCAAAGTTGAAAGCTAGGACTAGTATACTTGATTCCTCAATTTCACTTGAATCTCGAAACCACTACATAGAATGCCAATAAACCGATAAAATAAGTTACAAACATTATTTATAACTATAAAAGAGTTATAATACCATAAGATAAATTGAAGTCTCAATGATTCTATTGAT